CCGCGGGTGCGCGAGCCAGGGCTCGGCACCTCCTGCCCTCCCTGCCCGGCTGTGGACAGAGTGGTCCTCCTGCCACCCTACTGTCCCCCTAGCCCATCTCGCTGTGGGTGCCGCCCGCCGCCCCTCTGCACCCTGGACCATCCCTGGGCATGCAGGCTCCCCCTCCCCAGGGCAGGAAAGGAGGTGTACAGGGGGAGGAAGGTCCCTGGAGGGTCTGGATCAAGAAGGACAGGTCTGCCCTTGGGGCACATCCTTCCTGCCCATGCCCGCGGCTGCAGCCCTGCTGCTCTTCCTGTTTGTTATTGCCCGGGCTCGAGCAGAGACACCGCGCGCTTCCTTCCTCTTCTGCCCCGCCACCTCCAGCCGGGCTCCTTGAGGGGACCAGGCTGACCCTGGGGCGTGCGGTGCTGGCACTGCCTGCCACTGCGCTGGAGAGGCGTGTGTCTGTGCATGCCTGTGTGTTTGCAGGAACGCGTGTGCACGGGGGGGCCACAGTTTCACCCTGACAGCAACATCCACACTGGTGGCCCATGGGAGACCCTGTCAGGGCCACCCAAGAGCTGGGAGATCAGAGGGACTGAGCTCCAGAGCAAAGCACCGAGCTTGGCCAGCAACAAAGCAACCTTATCCCGGAGACAAGGGCCACCAGCATCTGTGTCATGAGCAGATCCCAGGGTGCCAGCAGCCTCTGCAGACCTGGACTGGACTCTATGTCAGCCTGGGGATGGCCTGAGGCATTGCTCCCTGTCGTGGGTGGGATGAAAGAACTTGGCTGTAGGGGCATAGGGGCAGCCCCACCACAGACAGACAAGGGCCCAGCACTGCCCTTCCCTGCCACCCTCCGTCTTCTGACTGAGAAGTCTTCCTAAGATGACCAGCAGTGCGGTACGTAACAAGGTGGCTGCATAAACATGCCCTCAGTAGGGACCAGAGTAAACAAAGAGGGTTATTTCCTGAAGGGCCAGCCTGTCAGACGATGCAGCAGCTTCCTTCCTCAGCAAGGCTGAGGCTGGGACTGTGTCTGCCCTCCTAGTGTAGTGGGCACCCTTCCCATCGGGGTGGCTTTGAGCTGAAGGCGTCCCTGAGGATGCAGCCAAGACGCAAACCCCTGGGGCCACCCTTCCTGCCTGTTGCTGGCCCAGCCCTGCTCCTCCAGCACTGGGCCAAGCTAGGGACAAGCTCAGCCTGGCACTGGGGCAGACACCACAGAGCTGCCAGCACCAGCGAGTCACGGGGCATGCGATGGTGACGGCCCCGTGCCCGTGCTCACCTCCAACCTGCCCAACGGCCTGTCATGGGCAGGACGGGGTTGGCTGGACCCTGCAGACCTTGTAGGGCCCAGGGAACAGCCACAAAGCCAGGCAGCACCCAAAGGTGCAGAGAAATGGGGCTCCGACCCCCGGAGCTGGGCTGCCCAGAGGCCCTCACTGTACCGAGGCACCACGGGCACGGCCAGCTCCTCTGCACGGAGAGCAGGAGACCAGAGGGCAGCACCAGCCTTTGGCAGTTGGATTTGGGCCCCTTTTCCCCAAAAGGAATGTGAACCTTTCAGCAAAGTGAGGTCAAGCTGCCAAAGTGGTGTGGAAAAAAACTTTTATGGAGTCCAAGAGCTCCGTGTGCTGCAATTTTAGTGATCTGTGGCCCAGTGCAGTTTAAGAGATTTGGTGGCCATTTCAAAGGATTTGGGATCCTCTCAGCAGTAAGACTCTTCTGCCTCCTGCCAGGTTCTGCCTTGGTCATGAAACCCTCCTGAAAGCTGCGGCGAAGGATGCGGATGGATGCCCTTTGCCAAACAACCTTGTTAGGTTGCCCTGGGACCTGGGTCGCCCCCGTGCCTTGGTGAGACCACGCACAGGGGAAACAGGGGGAAACAGATCCTGAGAGACCACGCATCCTCTGCCTCTGAAGCCAGACAACACCGAGGTGCTCATCCTCAGGGAATTACCTGGGAAACCCTGCATATTTTCCCCCTGCAGCTCATGGACCTCCCCGTGCCACTGGCTTGGCTCTACCAGCCACGTGTGTCCCTGTGCTGGCTGGGGCCAAGAAGGAGACCCGGGACAGAGCCCTGGGAAGACCACCTTTGGCTTTTCCTTATCCAGAGAGCATGAGAGAGCCTGAAGGGCCTGTCCTGGCCATGGGGACTCATCCAGGACGGAGGGAGCATCGGAGCGAAGCAGAGACATGGTGCAGGGATGTGCCACAGCTCAGGCTCCCAGAGGCAGAAAAATCTGCGCTGCTGAGACCTCCTGACCCCTACACGCATCTGATGGAGCACAAATGGGCCTCAGCGTACTTGTACCTGGCCAGCGTGGCCCCTGCCCGCCCCCAGCTGAAGTACCTGCTGGGTGAGACATGGAAATGGGGTTGCATTTGGGGGGGGCACAGAGCATGGGAGGCCACAGCCCGGTGGAGACCCAGAGCGTGGAAGACAAGGTGCTGGTGCAAGTGAGGCAGGAGCTGGTGGAGGTAGACTGGATGTGAGTGAGACCAGGAGCAGACGGAGCAGGAACGCACCGCTCGTCCCAGGACACTTCTCAGCTCTCGGTGCCGCTCCTGCAGCAATCTTCCCCCCCATGCCTCCTTGCACCCCCCATGCGGTGCTGCCCACCTGGGAACGGCACGTGCCGGAGCTGATGGCGGGATGCACACCCACCCGTGCGGAGTGAACGTCCCTGTTCACACACTGGTGCCCACCCGTGCAAGCGAAGGGCATGCAAGTACCTCGCTGGCCTCTGCAGAGCAGTGAAGCCCCAGAGGCGCACACGCGCGGTTGTGCACGCTGCTTCTGGCCGCCTCTGCGCCCCAGCCGGGGAGACGATGCCGCTTCTCCTGAGGGACACCGGCTGGGTCTGCAGAGGGGTGCAACGGGGAGCAGAAACCCAGAAGCTGCTCTGGCCAGCAGTGCAAGGCGAGGGGCTGCATCGCTCTTCAGCCGGGTTCGTCCCGTGTTGCACCACCAGCTCTGCACTGGCTGCGTCAGGATGGCTCGGGGAGCAGAGCACGGGGCAGCCGCCGGGTCCTACAAGAACGGGCTGTTTGGG